AGATTTTGTCCTTATTACTGAAGTCATATAGATGAAGATGAACCCTGTTGAGGTTTTTTTGTAGAGGTATAAGCACCTGTACAGTGGTTTGGAAACTGAGGAGCCTGCAACTTTAGCTCACGCTGTGAAATGCATGGAATTTTGTTGTACTAATTTAAAGTATTCATACAGTTAAAGTTAAATTTATTTATATCTATCCTTCACGCCCCCATCCCTGCACAGTGTATAATTTCATTCTGGTGCCTTGTGTGTTTTATTACTTGCATTCAGTTCCCAGTTGTTTCCTATTGTTAACGTAACTGTCTGTCTTGTGTCACTGTGCCCCCCCCTTCACATTATCTCTTCAGTGTTTGAGGTTTCTTTGTGCTTGTGTGATCTCAGCCAACTTTAGAGCTATGGAACCTACTGTGTGCAAATTTTGCTCTTTAAAATAAATGAGTTTTATCAGCAGCTTCAGATGATTAACTAGTCCTCTGGATATAAGTGTGTGCAAGTACTAGAAGTCTGTTTGTTCAAAGATACCTTAAACGAAAAAAAAATTGTAAAAGGAGACCATATCCATAAGTATAACCAAGAGGGGGGAAGGGAGCAGAGTTAGGGTTGAGCTTTCAACCTTAATTCTGTATTTCAAGAGTTCTGAATGCTTGGTTTGTTAGCATTAGTGCTGCACTAACTTAGGGTATTTTTCCATAAGAGTATGTGTATTTAACCAACTAAGCATGAAATCCCTTGCTTCTGTTTGTCCCTATTAAATAGTGGCAACAAAAGAAACAGACAGGAGATGGGTCCAGAACAAAGCAGAAATAATGGAGTATTTCACCCCAAAAAGGAGAGTGAAACGAGAAGTACAATGAGTAGGCAAAGACAGACTCAACAGCTGGAGGCAGTTTAATATGTTGTAGAGAGTACTAATTCAGGGATATTTGCTGCCCAGAGCTTCAATCTGTAATCTCAGAGCAGCATATATATCAGAAGTGTTTGGCCATCCCTGCTATAAACACAATATGCTTTTCCCAGAAGAAATCTCCATAGGGCTTTAAAGGGACACTGTCTAGGATATCAGCATAAATACTGATCTGCCTAAAACCCAGAATCATCTGATTGGGTTAGAAATCTGTGAAGAGCAGTAGAACTGGCTAGTTTCTTCTCTTAACTCTTATAAAATCATTATACATGCACATGCAGCATTCATACACACTGACAAGTAAAATAGAAGTAAAAGTGCTGCTGAATATTGCAAAGATGTCTGCAGACTACAGCACCTATTTCTCCCAGTTTCCTGGGTAAATGCATTCTTTTTTTCAAAAACTGATTAAATGCATACAGTTTTTAAAAGGTACTGTAATTAAGGATTAAAAGGTATTGTTTTATTTTCAGTAATTAAAAATATGTTTGTTCATCACAATGAACTCCTGACTCTCCATGCCTCCCTCTCTTTGCATGCCTGTTTTCCCCATCCAGTGGCTATTGCTTTGAGTGTGATATTCTCAAAAATTATGAAAGCTGACATTTGACATGTCATTTCCTTTATACTAAGTAAGGTCTTACTCTGATAGGATGAGAAGGCTCAAAAAAATGTTCCATTTTTGTTGCTAGTGGGGTCTGAATACATTATTACCATATCCCAAGCAACCTTTCAGTGACTGTGCCAGCTAGCTCTGCTTGACCCTGTATTTGCAGTAGTTCAGTGTTTTCTATCTGCTCTGACACTTCCTCTAAGAGGCACTGTTTGGGTTTAGAGTTTGTTTCATAATACCTAAAAAGCAGGATTTTATTGCCCATCGAGCAAATCAGGCTTGGGAATCAATGGAGGAGACTTCCAGGTCCATGTCTGGCAAGTTAATTCAAGTTTCTTTTATGTCTTTTGGGTTGACTAACTGGAGTGGAAAGTATGCTGGTTTGGGAAAGAACTGACCACTGGTTGTGAATTGAGCAACTCTCTCAATGTTTTTGATATATTTGTGTTTTGGAATTCTGGAATGACTTCTTTAGTTACTGGTACACATTTCTTGCAGTTCTGTGGTTTTCAGAGTGCACTGTAATATGTGACGACATCTTAAATAATGTGTAACTCTAGTCCATGGTTATAAAATATTTCACGATCCATTTCCTGTCTGTAATAAAATGCAGAATATAAGATGCAATTTTATTTGCATGGTGACTTTTGAATTTTCTACTCCCCACAGATACTGTGTAGCTACTAGATGCAGCTGCCTCAGTTGTGACAATAAATGTTTAGTCTCTATAATGGATGCTTAAATGGCGTCGACTTTGTTAGGGAGCAGGTAACTTTAGGCTTCTGAGTGAACAGGAAGAGAGTGATCAGACTGTTTGTGTAGTGATATTTCCAATGGGAAAGATGTTCATTGAGCTTGAGTAAGTAGCATTGCGAAACAAGTTTATAAAGTCTAAATCTGTTTTTACAAGTATCCCCTACAATGTGCTCTAGAATTTCTCATCTCAGCTACTGCTATCTGCTATACACAATAGCTTAAGTTTCAGCAGCTTTTGAAGCTGGAATATTAAAAAATTGTTTTCATTACAACTAAACCAATTTACTGAAGGAAATTAGCCTAGCAGAAGGACAAAGTTATGAATATAGCAAAGACAGAGGAATCATATCAAATAAAATACAAGAATGGTCTGGAGGGAGCCATGTTTTCCTGTCTTCTAAGGATCTGTCTGAAATTTTTATGCCTAACTGTACTTAGTAGTGAAGGATAAGTGAAAGGGTGGTGAGTCTACATATGCTACTTTGGAGATGCAATCTGACCTGAGTTTTTGATCATATGTTTCATCCACAACATATAAAGACTCTCCAGACCAAGTTAAACTTAAGGAGTTTGTGGTAGAGAGATCCTGAAGTTCACGAAACCTGTCTTGTCACCTACAGAGCCTCCATATATATTCTGCAGAGAGCAGAAATTGTCTTTCACAGAACTATGTGTTATTAGATGTTGTCAGGGCTCGAAAGTAATGTCTGGTTGCATAAGAACCAGCACAGTGGCTGGACAGAGAAGCACAGAATTCCATCAGCTCATCTATTCCTTTATACTTTTCAATGTGACATCAGGAGGTTGTTGCAAAGATGGCATGATGACAGGGACAAATTGAATCATTTTAAAGACTAGCTGTAGAGAGTCTGACACACAGCCTCAAGAGTTCTGGCCAGCTCTGAAGGATTTTATGTGGCCTTCAGCTTGATATCCGTTAAGTGGAAGCTCTATTTAAAGGAATTGATCTTGTTCAATGAACTCAGTTGGTCTTTCTCACTTAAGTACCACAGTAGAATAGTTTGCTGTGGCTTTGTAGAACCTGTGAGATAAGTATAAACCAGTAATTTAATAGAACATCAGTAAATAAAGATAGAAGGCAACTTGGTTCCTTTAAGGTATGGACACATAAAAGTGCAAACCTTCTTAAGATAACAATTTTTTGATTCAAATCTTGATAGAGGCAAAACTATTATTTTTAAAATCTGCTGCCTTTATTTAGCTTAAATATTATTGTACATATTCTTACTTCTTCCAAAGTATTTGGTTTCACTCTTTTAAAAGATGCTGAAGTAGTTTTGTAGTTTTCACTGAATTTATGTTTTGCTTCTTCAAAGCAATAAAAACTGTTTTGGCAGCATGTGTAATAGCTTACCAACTATACTGAGAGAATCCAATTAAAGTTCTGCATTGAGTGAGCCGTCCTTTTATAATCACATTCTCACTGGACGACTTGCTCACAGGGTCAGACCCCACTGTTTGCATTAGAGCCTTACTGACATCAGTTCAGTTTCTCTTCTCCTCCAGTAGCCCTCAGTGAGAAAACCTGGGCAGTTGTCAAGACAAACTAGGTTAAGGTTGTAAAGGCAGGATTTCTTATCCTGCAATCAGTGCAGTGCAGACTTGTGGTTAAGATGGAAATAAAGAGCTGGGACTATGTAAAAACAGAATGTGTGAGAAAGGGCTGATTGCACAGACATGTTTTCCCTTCCCTATTAGAGCAGATGTTGTCCTTTGATATAAAGGTGGCAGATACTGGGGAAAAAGTTATTTATATATATATATATTGGGCTGTTGGAAGTCTACCTTGGAAATTAGTGTGTAATTATGCTCTCTACATAAAATTTAAACTTCCTTGCTTTCCTGGAATTCTATGCTTTTAGATTTTTACATTAAAAATTTCTAAATTGAATATAAACAAAGAACTGAAGAGCTTAGTGAGGGCCTAAGGAACCTTTTGGATGAACCTGGCCTACTTTTGGCAAAACTGTGTAGGAGAAGTGAGCAGAAATCTGAAGTAGGCTTTGTGTAAGATATTTTTATTTGTTTACATTGTGATTAATTTATACTTCTCCAGGGAAAGTGAGAGACCTATCTGTTTTTTACTAAATCTATGTCCAGCAAGATTTATTTGTTTATTTATTTATTTATTTACAAGCTGTACCATTTAACAGCTGTTATTCTGAGCTAAAATGCGTGACAAAGCAAGCACAGAAAGGACATTAGTGGAGCAAAGGTCTCTGATTTTTTTCTGTGACAACAGGTAGAGCCTGGTCAGCAGCTGAGGATTGGCTCTGATATTCATACTAGGTATTGCATGAAATTGGCACAGGAAGGAAACTCATGCATAATAAACTGCAGAGCTGTATAGGGCACGTGCCTGTCTTGTGGTGTAAATGGTTGGTGCTACTTGGGAAATGGATGTCATATCCCTCACAGCTTTTTGAGGTTTAGGTGAAAAGTTAACATGTATATTTGTTTTCTTAGAAAGTTTTTCTAGATTTAGTTGAGGTGGTCTTAGTCTATTAATTGTTGACTTAGTCAAAATACTAAGTTGGAATCATAATTTGCTTCTATCCAATGCCTATAAGTTTATAAACTTCCTTCTTAGAAGGTTAAATGAATAAACATTTGCCCAAAAAGAGAAGTAACCTCTTCCTTTTCTTTCTTTTTTTTTTTTTTTCCTCCCTTCTGTTTTGTTTTGTTTGTTTTGCCTTACCCCGGCAGTGTTTTAGAGCACTTTGCTGCAAGGGACCGCCACCACCACGACCTGAGTATGACTTGGTTTGCATAGGTCTCTCTGGTTCTGGCAAGACAAGTCTTCTGTCTCAGCTCTGCAGCGAAAGCCCAGAGAATATCGTGTCTACCACAGGTAGGATGCTGCCTTTGTTCCATGGTGTGTTGGAATATTGCCCAAAGATGACTTATGAAAGACATAGCAAAAGCTGTAGAGAACTTCAGCCTACTTATCTTGCTCTTGATCCTAATGGATCACTTTGGAACTACCACAATGCTCTTTCAGTATTTGTTTATACATTGGGGAATGTTCATGAACACATACAACTTGGAATATGTTAAAAGTTGAATCCGTGTGGTCTAATGAAGCAGAACCATAGCATACAGTAGCACTGTACTGTAGACACACATTAAAATGTTTCTTTCTTCTCATTTTACTTTGATTTTTAGACAGTCACATATAGAGAAAGTAAGAAAATTACAGCCTGAAAAATATTCCAGGCTGGAGCTTTTCAGCTCTGTTCCCAGCCGATAAGTTGGTCCAGCTCAAGGCTAGGGAGAATTTCTCCCAGAGTGATAATTTGGTCAAAATAAAAAGGAATTAATAACAAGATAGAACACCTGTTGTGGTGCATGACCAGGCCCTGGGAATGAGGTATCTTCTCTCTGAGCCAATCACCATTTCCCTACTTTTGGAATTGCAAGTCATGCTTTAAAACCAAGTGTGTTTCTGAATAAACTTGTCTCTTTCTTCCTGTCATGAAAGACGACCATGTAGCTATGCATCTTATTTCTGCTGCGCTTAAAGGGTTAAAACCCCTTTCCACGGCTACTGTCTCACTATATATTGGAGGGAAAGGAGGAGAACATGGTGTAAAAGAGGATAGGACAGTGATGCTCTGAAACTTAAACTGGGATTTATTTCTGCACATACTTGATCCCTGCTGCCTTGTGGTATATTCTACCAACGAAAAGAATAAATGTAATTTTTTTTGTGATAATCCCAGATTTTTAGATGAGCAACAAGCTTGTTTATGTAGTAAGGGCAGATTGTAATCAAAGGATCAATTTATAGAAAGTTTCAGTGGTAATGAGAAGATACATAAAAACAGATAGTATAACCACAGATAAGAGGTATCTTAAGTCCAAAATATTTGAATAGGCATCTTGATAAGGATGAACCAGAATGCCTAATACTGAAAAACATGTTTTGATTGAAAGAACCCCAAAACAAAACCAAGCAACCAACAAAAATCAAACCAAGAACAAAACAGCACCAGAAAAACCAGAAACAAGCATGTGAAGTAAGAAGAGGGAATACCTAGCTTAAAAGTTCAGAAAGAGGGCAGGTTAGGTCATGGGGGTTGAAGAAATCTAGTTCAGTGGCTGCAGCAATTATTAAGGTTGATTTGCTGATGAAACTGATACTAAGTGTTGTGCAAGTACCTTGTGTTTACAGTTACATGGCTTTGTATTGTAGCTGTGGTTCATGGGCTTGAATTTTATGATTGTGCCTTAGCAACCCTAACTGGTTTTCAGTGTACGTATTCTTAGTTTACAAGAACATTAGATTATTTAATACAACTGTAAGTAAAATGTAAAACAGGTACAAGAAAATAATATGAATAATGTGAATAATTAACCTGTGGCCTCTATAGTGGTGTTACTGGCAATGTTACAGAGATCTGATAGCTGGTTGTGAAAAGGTGACTAACTCAAAAAGTTTAAAGGAAATTGTAGAGTAATGAGCTTTTTAAAAAAATTATCCCTCTCTTGAGCTTTATCTCTCATTAGAAATTAGAAAAAAATTATACTTTAACACTTTACACCCTGAAAGCAATAGTAATAGCAATATAAATTGAAGCATGGAGCTATCATAGGAATTAATGAAAATACCATTAATTAAAAATTAAATTGATTTTGTTTTTCTAGAGAGATGCAATAAAATACCATTATATTATTTGGCAACTTGAGGAATGAAAACCAACTCTGGAGAATACGAGGAAGGCAAATCAAAATGATGCATATCTAGAGTATGCAGCTTATAATAAATCTTCTTAAATGTGGTGTATCAAACAATATTTTGGAGAATCTAAGAATACAATGTGACAACTTCTCCACTCAGGTTTCAAGCTATAACATATCTTTTTGCTTTTTTCATCAATCCCACTCAAGTCCTTTCCATTTCTTCCTTTTTTCTAGGAAGGGTTTAGGATTTCTTTTAAGAGAACAATTCTCAAAATATTTCATAATTATTTCCTTCAGATTTTCTTGTCCTTTGCTCTATTACATCTAGCACTAACTATCGTAGGAGTTCTGTAATATCTTATTGGTCTAACCAGGGAGAAAAACCATCTTGTTTCTGTTAATGGTAGCCAATAAATGTGAACTAAAACACATTTTCTCAAAACTTCTTTACTCAGTTCACAGGTATGTAATCATGTTGAAGCTACTTGTGTTAGATGGAAATGAATTTAATTTCTGTCTGGATATTTTTTGCTGAAAGAGCAGACATAATTTTTCCTATGTAAAGTATTATGTACACTTATATATATGTATGCACTGAACGTGCAAAATTTAGTGTATAATACATTGATATGGCTGGGAGCCTTTCACATTCCCTTTCTCTTGTCTGCTTGCATTTTCAATTAAGGGTCACATTTTGGTGGTGGATTTTTATTTGTTTGGTTTTTAAATTTTTATTTCAGTTTCAAGCAAAAATCAGGGTAATAGAGGATTCATAGATGTTTCCGGTGTGCTTATGACCATTTTAATACATCCAATTAAGGTCTGTAGAAGGATCTTTCCATTAATAACATTTATAGAAAGGATTAATAATCCAGGTACAGCCAACACCTTTGAAGTTTAAATGGAAGAATACAGTGATTTGAATTGTGTGTTGTCTTCAAGGTCTCCTAAAACTTGCAGGATGATCACTTCATATTATTGGTAGTCTGAATTATCCACTTTATCTCCAGATGCACTAAAAGATGATTTTACAGAAATGTATTCTGGTATATGGTCTGGATGGAAGTTTTGGGCTAAATTTTATGTGCCAGGTACTTATAACTGAAAATTGCATTGCATATCCTGGCTTATTCTTGTTCTACCCCATGGCACTCCTCTACCTCTTACCCCATCCCCATATAACTGACTTTTTAAACACATCAAAACAGAATTTCTCAGGCTAAATCCTGGTTCTTGATGGAAAAAGTTTTTTCTGAATATATATCAATTAATTCCAAATGGTTCTTTTAACAAATAGTTTACTAATGCTCTTTATTTCTCTTTCTTAGGTTTTAGTATAAAAGCAGTGCCATTCCAGAATGCAATTTTGAACGTAAAAGAACTTGGAGGTATGGTATTTATTCCTTTGTTCATAAAACATGCAATGTCTAAATCTCTAAATTGTCAGTTCTTTTAAATTGTTAGTTATTTTAAATTTTAAAATTATAGATTGGTACAGCTGCAGTTAAAAATCTCAGCAGATAAAGCTGAGAAAAGTTATACAAATACTGATCTCAAAAAACAAAGGGTGAAAGCAGGAGGAATGTAAGGCGTGTGGTGTATCCCCTTAATGTAATTTCTTGGATTGCAGTGGTTAAATTATAAAGAAATACAAACTAGACTGTAATTTTAGTACGGCTCATGTGGCAACTCAAGGAAATGTATGTTCCTTGTGTTTATTTTATGTATAAACTTTCACTTATGAGAACTGGCTCAGGTAACTATGTGAACATTTGTCAAAACCAATATATTTACTGCACCACTGAAAGTGTCGCAAATGCAGCCAACTTTTAATGAGTTATATTCTTTGAGAACTGTTCTCTTGTTGCATTTTTTGGATTCTGGAGCAAGGGTTGTTTTATGGTTTTAGGATTTAAAAAAATTTCTATATACAGACAACCTATTTGGCTCCCAATTCTGACTGAGTCTCAAGTGAGGTTGTTTGTTATAAGCAAGAAAACACTCTCCTGGTGAGAGTTCTTGTGGAGTCTAATGTTCTTCTAATTTAAAACCCACTTAAATCTTCTTCATATTCTAGAAGTTCTGTATATCTTTTTTTTATTATTTATGTAAATATAGTAGACTTAATATTGAGGATATTTATTAGATTTTTTAACAAGCTTGTAACCTCTCTTAAATGATCTGGGGTAGAATTTGACTTGGTTCTTGAGGAAAGTTTCAGGAGATCTAGTTGCATGGTAGCTGTCTTACCTGAACTTGTTTCAAGAAGACTTTAAAATGAGCACATGTGGAAGGCATAGCATTTCCTCTTTACTACCACTGGTCCATGGATATAAACATACATGTTCCTGTTTGAGCATGTATTCTGTTAAAAAAAAACCAAAAACCAGTAAGTTTTTAAGGTTTTAAGGGACCACTCCTCAGGGATAGTGTAGATACTGCTCGAGTGTGTTATGTGCGTTATGTGCACTTAGTCATAATGTCACTTTTTGGATTTTTTGAAAAATAGGGTGAATTATTTGCAATCTAGTTTATACATTCTGCAACCTAAGCTATATGAAATATATAATTCATGTAAGTAAATACAATTTTTAATCAAGAATTGAATCTGTGTATTCTATAGCAGATCCTTGTGTAAGTCTCTTAACCTTTTTTGATCATACGACATTTTTGCAGGTATGTGTATTTTGAGTAATCTTATCGTAGTGGAGAGTTTTGGCTTATGATGAGGAGTAATCCAGAATACTTGATTTGTTGTTTTCATCCATTTATCTCGTCTCAAAGACAGAGGGACTGTCAGAATTTTTACTATGCCTTTTACTTCCTTTTCCGTTTGACTATGGGTGTTTCCATGTCTGTGTTTAAAGATTATGTAATCTGATTTCTTATATGGAATATTGCAGAAAAATGCTAGTTCTGTTACCTTTTCATTGTCTAGGTAAGAGAGCAAAAGCAAGCTTCTAAAAGTTTTTGTTCCAAAAGTTGGTGGTCACTAGTGGTGTTCCCCAGGACTCATTATTGGTCCCAGTTTTGTTTAGTATCTTTATTAATGGTACGGACAAGGGGACCAAGTGCATTCTCAGTTTGCATATGACACTGAGTTGGGTGGGAGTGTTGATGTGCTGGAGGGGCAGGAAGGCTCTGCAGAGGGATCAGGGCAGGCTGGATCATGGCTGAGGCCAATGGTGTGAGGTTCAACAAGGCCAAGTGCCAGGTCCTGCCCTTGGGTCACAACAACCCCAGGCAGTGCCACAGGCTGGCACAGAGTGGCTGGAAAGGAGCTGGGGGTGCTGGTGACAGTGACTGACCATGAGCCAGGGTGTGCCCAGGTGGCCAAGAAGGCCAATGGCATCCTGGGCTGGATCAGCAATAGTGTGGCCAGCAGGAGCAGGGCAGGGATTGTCCCCCTGTGCTGGGCACTGCTGAGGCCACACCTCGAGTGCTGTGTCCAGTTCTGGGCCCTCCCTGCAAGAAAGACCCTGAGGGGCTGGAGTGAGTGCAGAGAAGGGAACGGAGCTGGGGCAGGGTCTGGAGCACCAGTGCTGTGAGGAGCAGCTGAGGGAGCTGGGGGTGTTTATCCTGGAGAAAAGGAGGATCAGGGTGACATTATCACTCTCCACAACTGCCTGGATAGAGGGTGTGGCCAGGTAGGGATCACTCTCTTCTTCCTGTCAGCCAGCAACAGGATGAGAGGACATGGCTTCAAGCTCCACCAACAGAGTTAAGGCTGGACATCAGGAAGAATTTCTTCATGAAAACAATTGTTAAACATTGGAATGACTGCTGAGGGAGTCACCATCCCTGGAAGTGTTCACGAAACAACTGGACATGGCACTTAGTACCATGATCTAGTTTACAAGGTGGTAATAGGTCAAAGGTTGTACTTAATGATCTTAGAGGTCTTTTCAAACCTAAATCATTCTGTGATTCTCTAGTCAGCATTTAACCTTTTAGGTGAGAAATATGTTCCTGTTTGATGAGGGTAAAACCTGAACTTTCTGGAGTAGACATGGTTCCTCTCTTATATGAAAATAAACCAAAACATTTTACATTTGTCACCACAAGATAAAAGTGTTAAATTTTATTTTGGAATTTCTCCTTCTGATGTTGCCTGATTGCTGGATTTTTTGGTCTTATTTCTGTGTTTTGCCTTCTGTTTTTATGCTATTGTTATATAATTTCTCTTTACTGTAGTGTGGAGGTCTTGTCCGGACATTTGATCTTGGAAACTTGAAGGAAGGCATCTTTTCTTAACAACCACTTCCTGTTGTTACATGTTATTTACAGAGTGAAGTTCTATATGGTTTTAATTTTTGTTGCTTTATATTTTTAGGTTTAGGTAACAGAAATCTTCAAATGTCATCATACAATAACATATTAACAGCCAGTATTTAAAACACAGCAGAAGTTATACTGCTTAAGGTTCTTATATTCAGCAGCCAAGCATTTATGTGAAACAGATGCTGACTGTGTAGTATCCTTTCTGTTTCATTGAAGTAATATTCTTCCTTGAGGTCAAAGATGGTGCGAGTTTTTACTGTGCTTGTTGTCTCCAAAGCTGATAATGAAGCCAGGTTTTATTTCTTCATTTCTACAGGGATTGCAAATTTTCAGGCAAAGTATATAGAACATAGTCTCTTCTTTAATCGGTTCAAGGAGTGATTTTTCTCTTCATCCTCCTTTAACATTTAGGGACAGGGAGCAAAGTTTCATGTGCTCTCTTTGCAGAAGTTTTTCTTTGAAGTACATGATTCTAGAATATTAAAAATAGGACCCAAGTTCTGTTTGTTTGTTTGTTTGTTTGTTTTTTAATTGTTTTTGTTTCCTAAGACAGGAATTTGCAGTCCTAACAGAAAATAAAGGGTTCATCCAATTTGAAAAATGATAAATGTTTTGGTTTTTAAACAAAACATTTGATCCTGAAAAAGTAAGAATATATAGAGAACTTTCAAATCTAACATTAGATTTCTTAAATTACTTGAAAAGAAAGTTTTACTTTATTTGCTGACCAAGATGAACTGCCTGCTCTCTTAGTTGCTCTTTTGCTGTACCAATAATCCCTTCCTTATCCCCAAGAAGCTAAAAAATTACCATTTCCCCCAAAAGATTTGGCCTATAAAATAGAAGCTATAATTTCAATTATCATGAAGATGTGCCATGCTCTAGTCCACATTCTTCCAGAATGTACTGTTACCAAGACAATTGGAAATATGTGTCTTTTTATTATGCATCTCAGCTAAGTAATGGTATGGAAAGGAACTACAGTTGTGATGATTTCCTCTTATGGTGCAATAATTTTTTGTGGGAACTAAGGATGACATTGTATATGATGAACATAGCGAAGAGTGGGAGAACCCTGTAAAAATAAGGAGGATGATAATGTTGTTCAGAAGATTCTTACAGTGTTTTTCTGAAAAATGTTTGGGATGCTGAATGCTGAGGTTGGTTCACAAGATAGATAATGGAGATGTAAAGGCAATAGGAAGCTTTTTCTTTGGTTCTAACAAATTCCAACCTGGAGACACAGTGGCTGAAAGCACCATTTATTCTCTGGTTTTTAGTCATTTGCTGTTGTAATGCTGTCAAAACAGCATATAAAGTTGTGGTTTAGATATTTATTCAGGCCTGTATCAAGATTTAAGGTCCATCCTGATAGACAACTAAGAATTTTCAGTTGTCTTTTTAGAATGAATTATTTAATAATTAAATTTGGTGTCTTGTAAAAGCAGAAAACTTAGAAACTACAAGTGAGATGCCAAATAATGAGCCAAGTCAAATTTAAAAGAATTATTCTGGATGTGAGCAGCTCGTCTTCTTACAAAGTTTAAAAATACTAACAGCATGATATAGGGTTTAATAATTATTTAACATATTTTATTTATTATATCTTTGTATGTTTGTATTAGGTTTTGTGATACACCCTAAAGCCATTTTCTCAAACATAGAGAGTACGCGTTGTGTAGTCATACTAGAAAATTCATTTAAGACAAAAGTCTGTTAAATACATAGCAAGAGTGGAGCGTTTAGTATCAGGAATGCTCTTGTGTCCAGTTGGTTGAGCTTGCCCAGGAAGAGATGAGAACTTGCCTCTCCACTGCTGTTGCTTCTTAAGCTTGATTACCAAAGTTATAAATTCACGTTCTTAGGCCAGTTAAATTAATTGTCTAGGTGACAGCTTGAGAACAAATAGCTTTAAATAGGTTTGGTTAAACAAAGCATGTATATTTTGTCTTAATTTGGAAGTAAAGAGCAGCAGAGAAGAGAGTAGGAGGAGAAGCCACACGGTTGTGCAGTCCAAGTTGAATGGAAAATATGAAATTCTGGAGAAGACAGCAACAGTTGTCAGGTAGTATCTGCCTGGTGAAAAGAATGGCTGATGTGGGAGAAA